TTGCGAGGCAAGGGCTCAAACATGTACGGCTGGAAGCCTTCTACACCAAACCAAGCTTCTGCCGCCCTGGCGTCCTCTTCCACAACATCTTCATCCCCGCTTTCCTACTATAAATAAAAAATATATGATGATGGAGACTCATCCACGACCTCCGACACTAAACTCTCCTCCTCTTGCATGTTTCCTCTGTCCATAGCGTTCCTTCACAGTGTCGTTTCTAAGTCACCAATTTAGTGCTACTTGGTCCCAATGGAATTTCCCATTGGGACCAAGTAGCACTAAGTTGCTAACTGGTTAGCAAGATGCTTCCAACAAACCGGCCAAAACCAAACTTGCCACAACAATTCCGCCCCCTTGATAATCGACCAATCACATTCACTTTATTTACTAGTTTAAAGTCGGACACCACTCGGGTGAATTCGGAAATGCAACGGTTGGAACAGCTGCTTCCCTACGACTTTAAAAAAAATGGAAACGTCATGAAAGCTGTACTAAATTAAATTTAATTTTGTATACAAAATGACAATAAAGTTTATTTAAGTCTAAGTCTGCACATCGACTGGAGGCTGGGGATGACATCCTGTCCCTCTGACTCAAACCTACATACAGTTAGAAGGATTTCCTTCACTGTGTTGTAAAGGAAAGCTCTGAGTTTACACCTTGAAGCTTTTTCTCTCCATGTTTTTTCCTGAGAAATAACATTTCATACATATACATATACTTCATAATGTATATGTATTAAATAACCATCCAACATGAAAAACAGATTTTGGCAGAAATTGTAATCTTACTCAGATCAGAGAAGTTGCTTAGAGTTACAGAAGGCAGTTGCTTACCATCAGGGCTCACATCTCGTTAAAATGGCCACGATTCACACTTAAAGAAGCATTTTATACAACTCCAGTCTGACACATTATCACATCGTTACATCATACACGTCTGTACATGAGGAGACATCCATGGTTCCAGCCTTATGAAAATATTGCACTGTTTTTAGATCAAGGAGAGCGCTCTCATTTCATTCCAAGTGCAGAGCAGCAGGCAGGTCAGGGTCAGATGAAAACCCGGATCCAAAGCAGGGAGCTCTGCTCAGGGCTGCTTTAGGAAGTGAGAGGAAGATGGTGCAACTGCAAACCNTTTCATCTCAACCATTCTATCGTTCAATTCAACTCACTCTATCTCTATAGTGCTAATTCATAAACAGGCCATATCAAGGCATTTTACAGAGACAACACAGTCAGACGAGTTAAAGGTTTCTATGAAGGAAAGCCAATTGATTGCATCCAGTCATTGAGATGCACGACACGCTCCTCTTGGATGAGCATGCAGTGACTTTCACTTACATTTTGTCATTGACTCTTCAGCCGTCCTTCACATCGAGCATGCATGTAGCGAGAGTAGAGAGGAAAAACTCCCTTTTAACAGGGGAAAAACCTCCATCAGAACCAGGCTAATTGTGAGCGGCCGTCTACCGAGGAGAAAGAAGCAGACTTACAGAAATGAGAGATCCAAAAGTTAAAGGGCTGGTTATACTCCCCGCAGCAGTGTGTATTTTTCATTTATGCCCAATATTAAAGCGTGGTCTGCGCTATGTTATTCCACACCACAATGCAGGAGGGACACAAGCTAACTGTGGCGGTGAGGAAGTGGGGCCAAATTTCTGTGACAACAGAGGATGGAAGAGAGCATATACAGTTGGTCACAGTAAAGAAATAGGACTACGCTGAAAGAAATGGTGCCAAATTCAACATCTATAAATAGAGATGTTGATGGTAGCAGCACAGCTGATATTTCTCTCCAGGATAAGTCACAGCTGAACAGTAACAGACCAAATTAAGCTACCATAACAACAAAAGGCAGAGAGAGAGCATACAGTTATTGGTGGAGCTTAAGCAGAATGATGCAGAATGATGAAAAGTGGTCCCCATGTCCTCCAGCAGCCTAAGCCTAAAGCAGCAAAGATATGGAGGAATTAGCTCAGGATAACCTAACTATTTTGTATGAGTTATGAGAAAGGTAGAGCTGTCATTGCTCTAGCCCTATGTCTTGTGCTAGAAAGTGAACTGCCTGAAGCCTCTAGAGTTATTCATTTTAACATAATCTTTTCCCTGTATCTACTGAAGCAAAGGATCACCAACCTTGACATCAAGCTATTTCTTTACGGGCGATTGTGTGTGTTAGCTTTGTACTAACAT